GGTTCGCCTGGTCGCCGTTCGCTTACCCCGCCCACTCCCAATCTATTGCTGCCTCCGGAGTCCCAGCTGATGGCTAGAGGGAAAAAAAACTTTAAATTCTTGCTGCGGGGCTTCAAAGAGCTAGCTGCAAAGAGGTAAATTCCTGGAGCAAGTTTTTTTCCCCCTAGCTATGCTGAAAAGAGAAAGCGAAAGCAGGGTCTTAGCTGCAACCTGACAAAATGAGGCAGAGAGATTTCTTTTTCTTTTTCCTCACCAAAAAAGGTAGGTACAAAACTGCAAACAATGGGAAATTTAGGGCAAGAGGAGGTTCAAGATTTTAAAACACAAAAGAAAAAAAGCTCTATTTAACTAGGGAATTGTAATAATTGAGATACTATTAATTGTATATTGTGTTGAAAGCAGAAACGGTTAAGTTGTGGTTTGGAGGAATATATGGGGGAAATTATTTGGTTTATTATTATTGGTAAATATAATTAATTGATTTGTAAGAAATTGGATTGCATGGAAATAATTGGAATATTCATGTTCATATTGATTAATATACAAAAAAAGATAGTTATATAACTAATTGATTTATATTAAAACGTTGAATTTGTATTAAACAACTGTATTACATAATTAACCAATATGAGGATGGATATGAAAATAGATGACAATGCGAAAGGGTATAATATAGAATAGAAGGGAAAAATTGAATTTGATTAAGATTAGAGATGAGGATGAAGGGTAATATTGGTTTTTTTAAAAAATAGATGAGGAATAAATATGGTAAAAAGGAAATATAGAAATTGTAAATTTAATTGAAATGACTAAATACTGTGTTGGAAGAAATATCCTTCTGGGTTCTGCTCCAAGTGGGGAAAATGACACTGGAAACATGGAGACTGTTTGGAAAGATGTTTTAATGGTGGACAGGATCACATGGCTTGATGGGGCCCATTGTGTTAGTTTCTGTTGCTATTGTATTGCAAATGTCCTTTGACAAAGGATTGACTTTCTGCGTCTGGCACATTAACAAAGGGTGGGGGGCAGGAAGGTGGGAGCTGCTTTGTCTGTAAAATATGCTTCTCCATTTCTCATCCAGGGAAATATAATATTCTGCCTTTTTAATATTTCCCAAAATATTTCATTCTTCTAGGAAAGGGGTGGGTGCTAACCTCCTACAACTGTTTAAATTTGTGGACCGGCCAAATACTCTGTTCAAAGAAAATATGTTGTATGTTTGTATGTGTGTTTCTAATTATTGCTATTTATTCCTATTTGTTCTCTTTTATTCTTTAAAGTTTAACAATTCATTCTTTATCTTAATATCTTTATATTTGTTTGGGGTTGGCTTTCTTCCCTTTCATCTTTTTTATTGTACAGCAATCTTTCTCCTCAAACCTACCACCTCTGTCTTTCCTTTCCTTCTTACTTTCTCTTTCCCCCCCCTCTTCTTTCTCTTCCTTTCTCCTTCTCCTCCTCTCTTCCTCCCTCTCTTACCCTCACTCCTACTCTAATTTCCCTTCCCTTCCTTCATCCCTCTCTATTGCTGTATCCTTTTATGCATATGGACTACTCAGAGGGCTGAAAAAGTTATTTTTGACTGGTCCTCGCACTTTTGACCAGTCCTCAAACTTACAACTGTCCTCACAATTTATGTTTTTGCCCTATCTTGTCACCATGGTGAGAGAAGCAGTTGTGAAATGAGTGACACGGTGTTAAGAATGGTACAATGGGCATAAATGATGACCAGTCATAACTGCGAAGACCGATCAAAAGTGCGAGGACCTGTCAGAAATCACATTTTTCAGCCCTCTGGGTAGTCCTTTTGTGCACAGGGACTACTCAGAGGGCTGAAAAAGTTATTTTTGACTGGTCCTCGCACTTTTGACCAGTCCTCGAACTTACGACTGTCCTCACAATTTATGTTTTTGCCCCTATCTTGTCACCATGGTGAAGAGAAGCAGTTGTGAAATGAGTGACATGGTTGTTAAGAATGGTACAATGGGCATAAATGATGACGAGTCATAACTGCGAAGACCGGTCAAAAGTGCGAGGACCTGTCAGAAATCACATTTTTCAGCCCTCTGGGTAGTCCTTTTGTGCACAGGGACTACTCAGAGGGCTGAAAAAGTTATTTTTGACTGTCCTCGCACTTTTGACCAGTCCTCGAATTTACGACTGTCCTCACATTTTACGTTTTTTGCCCTATCTTATACCATGTTGAAGAGAAGCAGTTGTGAAATGAATGACATGGTTGTTAAGAATGCTGCACAGACATAAATGTGAGGATGGTCATAAGTGTGAGGACCAGTCAAAAGTGCGAGGACCTGTCAGAAATGACTTTTTTCAGCCCTCTGAGTAGTCTCTATACACATAGCCATGCCCACCTGGTCACATGACCAGCTAGCCATGCCCATCCAGTCACATGACCTCCAAGCCATGCCCACAAAATAAGCCATGCCCACAGAACCGGTAGTAAAAAAAATTTAGAACCCACCCCTGGTTGGGGGTCACCACAACATGAGGAACTGTATTAAAGGGTTGCGGCATTAGGAAGGTTGAGAACCACTGCCTTAAATAATGATTGTATGTGATGCTGAGGTTTGCTTTGGTTTTTTTAAAATCACTACTTACATTTTCTTTTGAAAGAAAGAATATAAATATTTTAATGATAAAGAAATAACCATATAGTTATTGATAGTTTAGAAATAGTATTTATAATAATAACCCCAAAATGGATGGTTTGTGGAATATGTTCTAAAATGAACTCATAAGACTGGGCCAACCGACTGATATGGGGAGCAGCCCAGTGAACACAAATCTAGATTTGAGTTATTATAGATAAGTGAATCCACTAAGAAACCCTCAAAATGGCTAAGACAACTGTAAAAAAAAAAAACCTGGTCCAAATCAAGCCATATGTATTCATTTTTTAAAATATGAGCAATGCTGAGACTAGAAGATAAGAGATTATAATAAGAACTGCCAGATTCAATACTAACAATTTTATTTGCTTTAATTAACATTTTGGGAACCAGAAACCTTTGAAAGTCTAGTGCAAATCTCAGGAACTAGTCAATAGATCTCATTCTTGACCCAAATGAAACCCATATAATAATTTTATAATTTTATTGCCATTATACGTGTATACACAGTATACCCATTCAATGAAATTCACTTAACACCCAAAGACCAGGTTCAACATGCATAACAATCCCCAAACACACTCCCACCCACCACAAATTCCCCACCCCTAAACCACTCAAACATCCAAACAACAGACCAAGTAATGCTGTCCAACAGCTCACTGATGGTGGCCCTTTAGTTCATTGTTGAGTGCAATTAGAACTCTGGGATAAAAACTATTCAGAAAACATGTGGTCCGAGTTTTAATTGTTCTGTATCTTCTACTGGAAGGCAACAGTCCAAAAAGATTGTAAGCAGGATGGGAAGAGTCTCTGAGAATGTTATGCAATATGTCATGTTGTATTATGGGGGAGGGGGTTGGGCAGGGGTAGTTTATTCCCAGTAATCTCGAGGGACAACCACATAGATATCTTGTCCAACAGCAAAGTACAAAAGTTTCAGTTCTCTTTGTACCCCGTTTCTTCAAAATCCAACTTTAGAGTCCTGGGGAATACCATTGCTTTTACTAGTCTGTACTATCTTTAAAAAATAATAACACAATATTAAATAATAATAAACTGATTATAAACAAAGACATAACACAATCACCAAAATGATTCACTGGAATATGTGGAAATTGTCTTGTACTGATAATGAAGAATAAGTAGGAACCTAAAGTTGAAAAAAGTAGATGAAAATAAGCAGGTTAAAATATTGTGAATATAGTCTATATTCATGAATATAGACTGATAAAGTCTTGGCTCATAATACACCAAATTTAATTAATTGAAAAGAATAAAGTGTAGATAATAGATGTGGCAACAGAACATAGAATCATACTGATGGAAGAGACCTTGGAGGTTTTCTAATCCAACATACTATAGATAGTAACAGAATAATAGTTGTGGAATAGAATATAAAGAATTGGAGAAGATCACAATGTACAAAGATCTCAAAATTGAAATCGAAACATTATGGCATAAACTAGCCATGATGGTCCCAGTGGTTATCAGCATACTGGGTGCCATACCCAAAAATCTTGGATGGTTCTTAGAAAGCCCTTTGTAAATTGACAAAATTTCCACCTGTCACTTGCAAAATCACATATGTACTATGCTGATACATTACAACATCCTAGGTTCTTGGGAGGAACTTGATCCATATGAAGGCAACATCAACTAAAGAACTGACAGCTATGACTTTTCAATAGTAGTAGTAGTAGTAGTAGTAGTAGTAGTAGTAGTAATGAAATATGAGCTTGCTTACATATCACGCTAGGCTAAAAACTAATCAACCATCATTTGTGTTTTGTGTAAATTGAGCTATAAATAATGTAACAAATTTTTAACTCTGTTATATTAACTCTGTTAAATTAAAACTAAATAAATGGTGGTCACATTTTCCATCCAGACCCCTTTGTGACTTTGTGTCCCCTTTGTGACCAGTGCCTTTGTGCTTGCTCAACCACAAATAGCATTCCGAACCTGCTCACACTTATTTGAAGTAAGTGTTTAAACTACACAGGAACAACAAAGAAGGAGAATCTATGAAAGAAATGTTTCTGGGCTCTCCATCAGAGACTCTCCATTCTCTGTCATCTGACTCGTTGGTGGAATTGGCAGGAAGCTGAGTTACCTTCTTTACAAGATCAATTCAAAACTCTGCAAAGTGAATTTTTTTTTAAGAACCCAGTACAGCTGCAAAGGCAAATGTCTACAACATGCCATTGATGATACACAATACATTTCTGGCTCTTTCCCCATTTTTTTGTAGGCATGCTTTGCATTCAAGCACAGCATTTAGAAGGATAGCTTCCTGCAGCTGCTGCAGTTTTGCTACCTTCTTCTCAGTATCATGAATTGCTCTGGCTCAGACACTTTTACTGTTGCCAGGAGTTTATTTGAGACTCTTGTCTGAAATCTCAGGGGCCAGAGGGAGCTACTGAACAGACGGAAGTTGCAGCCTTTTGAACAGCCTGGAAAGCATCCAATGTAAGTTCTTCAATGCCTTTCATGTAGAGACCGAGCTGTGATTTACAATATCAATGTTACAGCCATACAAACAGCTCGACTGCTATAAGGTAGTAGGTATCTGCAGGCATGGCAAGTCACTATTTCTATGTAATTAATTCCCGCCATCTGACTCTTACAGAACTTGTTAAGACATGCTGGATATATATTTGAGATTTATTACTGGGGTCAGAATTCAGTTTTGATGATAGGGGAGTTTAAAGGGAGTTTTTAATTCTATTGATATTTTCTATTGTGAGATGTGAAATAACTAATAAAAGACCTATCCCACAGCATATTTCATCTCTTCTAGAAATTTAGGCTGGCTCTATTAATGTTCCTAAAAATACATACATTTTTTTATTCAAAGTTTCTGGATTTTAGCTCCAGAGACTATTCATCATTCAGTCATTGCTTAAATTTGCATATAATTTTTTTAGCTACAGTTGGAAATTAGCATACAAGAAAAAAATGCCTTTCTCTGCTTTTTTCATAGAGAATATATGAACCTAGAAGCAAGCAGGTATATGCATATATGGAGACTGAAATTCAGCCAGATTTATAGCAGGTACCTTGCATTTACAATTAAAATAACAACTCTTGAAGTAAACATCATCTATTACTCTCCTAGAACTTAGACTTGGGAATTGTCCAAACCATCCAGGTATCTGCTTTTTAAATTCAGGACTTTTTGACAACATATCGAGCTATTCATCTATCGTTTTGCAGAATTAGGGAAAGGTGCTTAAACTTCTTCTGGGACCCATCAACTTAAATTGAAGGGATTTGCAAGAACTCTAAACACAACTCTATGGAGATAGAAGAGCTGCAGCTGTGAATTTATAATTGTCATTATTTTAACTGGACAATTCCTTTATGAGGAGCTGAACTCTTTGTGTATATTTGTGTAAATTGAGTGATATGAAAATTTAGCACAGGGCCTGAAATGTTGATTTCAAAGCACATAATTTCCTGTAGTATAGATTTTAAAAGTGCATAGTACCATAAGTGCTACGGAGTACAATTTCAATGTGAATAAGCAGGGCAGACTGAGACAAGGGAGGGGTATGTGAGTGGGTTTCAGAGTGAGTGTCCTTTCTTCATTTTTCTGCTGATGTTTTATGTGCACAGACTTGGCAGAGTGGAACACACAGACACAGATACAGTATGGATGCACAATAATGTAGAGTTGTTCCAAGCACAACTAGTCTTGTTAGCTTCTGCAACCTGTAGGAACCAAATGTCAGACCCACATGAATCTATAGGAGACAACAGAAGTTGACTGCAAGGGATTGGGGCCCTAGAAATGTGAGTTTCTAGTTGAGAAATCAGTTTTTCATGCAACAATTTAAAATATAATGCAAGGAACAAATAATTTTAAAAGATTGATAACTCACAATTGGCTAGAAAAGCAACCTTTTCTACCATCATAAAGGAGATGGTACCAATTAATAGGTTCCAATTAAAAAAAGTAAATAGTAGAACTATAGAAAAACAAGCCAAGGTTACCTTGCTATTGAACTGAGCATGGTTCTCATTGATTTATGTAATGTTTCCTTAATAATCCAATAATTAATGTCTAAGGACTATTTGTTCACCTCTTTATTTGTGGACACTTTATTCATGTAGATATGTAGAGAAACACTAGTTTTCAGTGTTTTAACAGAATAACAGAATTGGAAGGGATCTTAGGTCTTTTAGTCCAACCCCTGCTCAGGCAGGAAACCCTATGGCATTTCAGACAAATGCTTGCCCAATCTCTTTTTAAAATCCTCTGGTGATGTACCTTTCATGTGCCTCCCATGAGTGTCAATTCTTTTCTCTTTCTCTCTCTCTCTCATATAACCAGCTACTAGGTCTCCTAGTGACAAGACGACATAACATTGGAGTATAAAATTTTAACTTCATAAAAACTTGAAAGTATAACTTAAAACAACAATTAAATAAATCCAACAATTAAAACTCTTTAAAAGAGTTGGTTTATGACTTCTGTTTTAAAAACCACGTAAGGAGTTAGGTTGCCAATCACAGAATAAAGTGTTTTTATTTTTATTTTTAAAAAACTGAGGCAGCTGTAAAGGCACTAGGGTCCAAAGTCACTAAACCCATGACAACTGCAGCTGAATCCTCTCACATGAGTTCAGAAAATATGTGAGTTTGGGGATTATATAGAAAGAGGGATTTTCAAGTGAGCTGCATACAAGGGCTTCCAAAATCAAAAGCAGCACTTTCAGTTTTACCCACAAACAAATTTGCTGGTTTACTCCGGGAAACTAGAAAAAGTTTGGTATACAAAAGCAACCTCAGGCTGCACAGCTGCTTCTTCTGAAAGACATTAATGCTAACAGTAGTTGTACTTGCCCAATAAAGGATCTGTGAAAATAAGATTAAAATCTCCTGCAAAACACAGCTGGATGTAGATGCTTCCCTCTGAGTGTGAAAAGAGAATTGAACATCTTTTATTCCAATGCTTTACAGTTTAATAAGTTTGCATCAAGATCTCTTTTTAGTTTTGCAAAATCATCATGTGGGACACACATCTACTTCATAACTTCAATTAGTGCAAAAATGCTGCATCATGAGATTTTTTTTTTAATGACATTGACCAACTACAATTTTAAAAATAGAAATTACTCTATAGATCTTTTTGCTTACTATTTTGCTTGAGAGCTAGACAGTCATATCTTTTATTTTTATCAACTTCAATTCTTTGCTGTAATATGAAGTACTGAAGTGCCATCTACTGCTTGTCGGAGAGAAATGTTCTCTAAATCAAGGGAAAATCAATAAGGAAAGATGCATTGACCATTTTTTTGGTTATCTTACAATATTTTCCCCACATTTCTTCTTTATTTGCAGTAGTTTGTTATTGTTGAAAATTATGTTTTAAAAACAGAAAAATAGGGAGTGGGCGGGCTGAAAGCTGCAGTGGATGAGTTAATGATGTACCCCGTTTTTCCCAAAAATAAAACATCCCCTGATAATAAGCCGAATCAGGCTTTTGAGCACATGGCAATAAGGCCAAGCACTTATTTTAGGGTTCAAAAAAATATAAGACAGGGTCTTATTTTTGGGGAAACATGGTAAATTAAATTAAAAGATAACTTATGCCATGCCTGGTGGATCATGCTACATTCCCCCTAGCTTTTGGAGATAACTCAACCTATTTATATTAAGCCTAGTTTAGGAGATACATTACAGTTTGGGTTTCTTGTCTTCAATTGGAAGAGAACTGACAACAATGTCTTGGATTGGCTGTTCCACAATGTGGCAGCACCACCGTTAAGGGGGCATGTCCATGGAACATCTCTGCTTTATGAACTTGACTGGTGACCTGTAGCCTTCCAGGTACAAATTTAAGATACTGGTTAAACATATAAAGTCATTCCTGACATAAGTCCTAGTTGTTTGAGGGATGTCTGTCTTCCATAATTTCTGTTTGTCCTATACATCTGACAAAGCCAGCATGCTCCAGATGCAGTGACCAAGCAATATCAACTGATGTGACTTCTGTCGTATTTGTCCTCTGGGATGGCCTCACCCTAAAATTAGTGAGACAAGCCATTAAGAACTGGTTTTTGTTCTCAAGCCTTAGGTTATAGTGAATGGCAAGGACCTTTTGGGTTGTCTGATCTGCAAAATTACGTTTGGAGGTTTTGGAGAGAGGGGAAATATTACATTTTATGTGTGTGGCCTGCATTGTTTCATATATTATACCTTTCACAGAGTTGCAATGGAATTGGGTAGTCAATGCATTTAATAATCACAAACATTAATATGTACGTGCAAAAACTGTAGCTGGGGGGTGGGGCAAAGGAAACCATAAAAAGTAGTTTAGGGGCAAATTACCCACACTGAAGCAATTTTTTTTTCAGTAAAGTTTCTTTCATCTCTGTGTACTAGTCTGAGGGCTTTGCACTATCCCTGTTCTTTGGTCTTGACAAATTTAGTAGGAAGGGATATAGAATCGGAAATCTCAGTTGTATTAGGGTGTGATGACAATCAAGAGTCTTGTGGAATTCTCAAGAGTAACAAATATAATACTGCATAAGCTGTTGCTAAAATAAATTGTTTTTCTTTAAAGAAATTCAAAGACCTAGTTTGGGTTAAAGGTTTATCCCATTTGAAAAATACAAAGCATTCTTTTCCTGAAACAAACAGCAGCCACTTACACTAAAATTGCCTTCACATGCCATCTGGTAGAGATAAATACCAATATAATGAATTTCAGCATGCTGCTCTATTGCTCACTGGGAAAGAAATATGCCTTTACACTAAACACATTAAGAACAGTTTTGCCTATTCTTCACTTCATTAATTAGTTAACCTTCTAAATCTATTGGTTCCACTTAATTCTAAGATGTGGAAGACACTGACAATAGTTATCAGTAGTTACTACAAACCCTAATTTGTTCTGAGATAAACTCAAAATATTTTGGTTTAAATGGAAAAACATCATATGATTTCCATTCCGCCTTTCCAGTTAATGAAAATACTTTCTGCTGTGCAAAAGAATTGTTTCAAAGAAAAAAAGGAAAACTTCACTTCAACAGTCCAGGGAAATCCACTGCAGTTTAGGGTTAGATTAGGGAGTCTCCAGATTTAGGAGGCCTGTGAATCATTGACAAAAAATCCAGTGGCTGCCATAGGTTGGCAAAATCACAAAAACTAGGCAAAAAAAAAAATCCATCAAAACCAGTGAGACTAGAAGACAAGCATACTCATTTTAGCCCTATTTCCTGGCTCCAACAAAAATACCTACTTCACAGTAAAACATCTAATGCTTAGCTTCTAAAGTATTTTTAAAACAATGTTCTGAATAAGAGGAAAATACATATACAATTTCTTACATCACATATTGCCAACTATCTTTTAAAATTATTTATTTTATTTTATTTATTTTATTTTATTGAATTTCTATACCGCCCTACTCCCGAAGGACTCAGGGCGGTGCACAGCCATGAAATAAAACACATAAATATACAAAATTTAAGACCAAATAAAAATGAATTAAATAAATTTGGCTGAATTAATACTAATTAAAAACCCATAATTTTAAAATACATTTAAAAATTTAAAATTTACAGTTTAAAGGGAGAAGAATTAGGCGAGGCCGGCTTGATGAAATAAAAGCGTCTTCAACTCGCGGCGGAAGGTGCGCAGATCCGGAATCCTCCGTATCTCTGGGGGGAGCTCATTCCAGATCGTCGGGGCCCCCACAGAGAAGGCTCTCCCCCTGGGGGCCGACAGCCGACATTGTTTGGCCGACGGCACCTGGAGGAGCCCCTCTCTGTGGGAGCGTACTGGTCGGTGGGAGGCTGTTGATGGTAGTAGGCGGTCCCGTAGGTAACCAGGTCCTAAGCCATGGAGCGCTTTAAAGGTGGTAACCAGCACCTTGAAGCGCACCCGGAAGACCACCGGGAGCCAGTGCAGCTCGCGCAGGAGAGGTGTTACATGGGAGCTCCATGTTGCTCCCATAACCACCCGCGCGGCCGCACTCTGCGCCAGTTGGAGCCTCCGGGTGCACCTCAAGGGGAGCCCCATGTAGAGAGCGTTACAATAGTCCAG